AAGATTCAAATAATCGAATATATTGGAAAAATTTAAAAGAAATTAAAGTTAATAGCTCATTAATAATTTCCTGATCTTTCTTTTTAACCAATGCTTCAGAGTCAAGTTTAGCTTCAAGGTCTTTTATATAAATCTCAGTTGTTTCTTCACGTTCAGTTAGTTTAGAAATCTTGTTTTTGAGATCATTAATCAAGCTCCTATTTCGATTATTAAGCTCTTCCGCTTCCTGTAATTTATCTTCTTGTAAATGCATCATACTTTCTGAGTGATTTAAAGCAGTACGGACAATTAAAAGTTGATTTTCAAGTGAAGTAATAGATTTTTCATATTCTTGAATCACAGGACCAAGTGCCTTCTGAAAACTAGGTAATATACGTTGAATAAAACGTGATTCATCATCATCTTTGAACGATTCCAAGTGTTTTACTAATAAATTAATAGTCGATAAATTTTCTTTAGAAAGAACACCACCATCTAAATTAATAGTGTTATTAACAATATAATCTTTAAGTGTTCGTATATGTTTATATTCTTTATCAGACGCCATTCCTTGATTGCTAATCACATTTCTTAAGGGAAGAATAGCTGAATAAAGAGAATGACTTTCTTTTTCTTGTGGATTCACCGAGGTATCGACATTTTTCTATAATTAATAAAAAAGTTTATAATAGTTAAATTCGTAAAATAAAGATTAAAACAATAAATACAATAAATATTAATTGCATAGTTATAAATTGTACCATGTCGTTCCAAGCCAAATCCACAAAATGAAATTTACTTGTCACAGCGATCCATTCACCATCATGTTTATTCATCTTTATTTCTTCTCTTGGCTTGGATTTTCCAAAATTAAACTTTGGATTGGTTGGTGACATATTGCTAGAATTAGCCGGCATACCATTTGACGGGACAAACTTTTGCTGCGAAAGAGTTACCGTGAAAATACGGTGTCCTCGCAAAGAGCTTGCTTTCGTATCCAAAGTAGAATTTTTTCTATTTAATGCACCGCGTGATAAAAGTCTGCAAAGATTATTATATTCATTAATATATATCAATATTTTATTTTATATGAATTGGATGTTTTACAGTATTCTAACCATCATGTGATCACGTAGAAAATTACTGATTATCAGTAAAGCTTATTAACTTTTATTTCCCACTTATACTATAAAACATCCTGTTAAAAAACAAATAAAAGATTCAGTTACCCCATTATCTCATCCACGCTATTAACTTTAATTTCTTTTAAATTTTTCCAATATATTCGATTATTTGAATCTTCGCGAACAAGAGCTTGCGAATCTTTATCACCAAGAAGATCGATTAAAAAATTATCATGTATTTCTACAAATGAAATTCTCATAACGAATTTTCTCGCTTTGTACTGAGCAGAATTTATGCAGGAGAACAATGTGGACATTGCTCGCGGAATTATACCCTTCGATTCATTCGATTGGGAAACATCACTCGGCAATCCGAGTGTATGCGTTTTGCCCGATGACGCATGACCATATGCTATGATAGTCGAATTGAAGCCTGATGTAGATCAAATTGATTAAATGAATGTTAGTTACATGGAAATTTTTTTTTCAATAATATTTATTAATTAAAATAATATTTATTAATTAAATGCGCTAAAGCATTAATTATCGTTATGGTTTCTTTATTTGATTATTATTAATAAATATAATCAACCTTCATCCTCTATAAACGCATGCACTATCCTTTCTAAATGCACACTAGGTTTCAATTTCACGTCATAAAATTCTCAATAAATGCTCTCCATAAATGCACACCTACAGAGCACATTTTTTTTTTTAAATAATTTTTCTCAATGAGATACATTTATGGAGTTGGCTGATTAAAAGTCAGGTGACCAATATAAAATTTAGCGCAAAATCATAGTCACGTGAAATTTTTACCGTCGCGACTACCGAGATATTTTTCACGTACCATCTAAAAACTTGTCCACCAAATTCATTACAGCACGATCATAAATCTCTTTCTGTGATATCTCGGGTCCGAAAACGTGATCAAACATATATGATTGTTTCCTTTCTCCTTGAACGGTAACTTGATTTGGAGTAAATGGTGTTGTGGAAAGAATATTCTTTTGAAGTGGAGCAGGCAAAGTAACCAGTTCTTCAGCCGTTAATGGTCTAATACGTAATGCTAAAAAAGAACAGAATTATTATATAATCTATTCAATGTTATTAAATTTGTGAGGGCAACATACCAAATCGTACAGTAACGTTTTCAAAAGTATTTATATTAGCCATGTCGTTCAAACGGATAAATATTAAATGATTATCCAGGAAATAATCGAGAAAAGAGGACGCGTATTAAGAAAAATTTTTGAATGAACGGAATGTCGTATAACTGAAAAGTTTTTTTTTCGGGTCCCCGCCCACACATACGCTACCCAAATATCAAAAGGTACTAGCTAATATTCTATATACAAATCTATATACTCTGATTTGCTTGATCTGTTAATTTCTAGAGAGAAAAAGAAAAAAAAAAGGAAATGAAAGAGATCAAGGGGATCTTTAAAAAGCAAACAAAGAAAATTAATTTATTAAAAAATTTGATTTTCGTTTAATATTTAAATTCCACAATAAATCGTGCTGTTATTATAAAATTTTTTTAAAAAAATGAATGTATGTTATTTTGATTAATGATGAAAGAAAAGGCGATTAATGGTAAAATACCATAAGGTTATGAGGAAGAAGAAAAAGGAAAAATAAGTAGATCACATATTTTTCATTGCCATTCTTTAGAGTTACATTTCCACATACAATGTGTAATCATGCATTAATGAAAATTAATTCGCGGTTATGTTTGCATTTTAAGTTGTATCATGCTAATGCACATATTTGTATTAATTCTCTATTAACACCACAAAATAACAATCAAATCCAATTAAGACGAAACGAACATTTGGTATAACAAAACTTTTAATAAAATACATGTTCAGTGGCAACCCTTTGTATATGTACATATTAAACATGTATGTATGAGGACACCCTGACTCTTATGCAGAGATTCAAAGTTCGAGAATAAATAAACAAAACTTTAGAACTTAGTTTTATAATGCCTCTTACTTTTTTCGTTAAAGCATTTATTATGGTTTCATGTATGCTTTAATAGTTGACACGCATAATATAACGTATTGTTTAATTTAGATGTGTACCAATCAAGTATATTACGATCTCATCGGTACAGTTTTAGACTTGTAATCACTAAACAGCTATGAAGACCAATTATTACTCTATATGACCTTTTTTTTAATCATGCATACATTTTAGTCGAATGTTTATTGGTGTGGATCATTTGTGACAATATGAACCAATTCTCTGGACATACTAAATATAGTCTTAATGACGGAAATCTTTTTTTTTTTTTTACCGTTACAGTATGAAGGAATTAATAATATGATTTGTAACGGTAAGATTTGTAAGACTAAAATTAAAGTTTGCGAAAAAATAGATCCATAGAGTTGATGTCATTATTAGTGTAAGTTATTATAGCGAAACTTTACTCTTTATTAATAGTTGCTGATGCTAAAATTGGAATAGCAAACCCTATTTATACTCTTATTAACAATAAACTTTAAAATCTAATCCTAATCCTAACTAGAGATGTAACCTCACACGAGATGACGAAATTATCGTATTCGCAATTTCACAAAATTTCGTCTCTCATAGAAGGGATATTTATAATAACTTTGACGAAACAAAGCTACGGGTTTTCTGCCCCTCTTCGCTTTCTCAATGCTCGTTAACGCAGCATCATTAGTATATTTGCGTAAAATTTTGCTTTATCTAATAGTTAAACTAAAAGATTATTCGTGAATAGCACTACCAATCATGCACCATTTATTTGATTTGTTTAAATATTATGACTGTTGTCCAGATTGGCCACTTTTCTGTCTATGTACTATGACTGTAGTCTCGACAGTTTTATCTGAAAGTTGAATAGAAAGATCGAAAAAACCAGACAATTAAGGTCAGTGGAATAAAATCACCATTAATTTATCATGAAATAAAAAAAATAACGAACCATTTGAAGTGAAAATAACTGGGGTTATACAATATAAATGTAAATTCTAATTTTTGTTAGTAATTTAATATACTTTATCTCGATCAAATTCTCATATTTAGCGAGATACTGGATCCAATAATCTGAACGGTCCAGTAAGAAAGGCATTATAGCAAAGATGGAAATCATAACAAATTAAATGCACATCTCATGGTCTAGTTATTTAGATTCGAATAATTTGTATATAATTCGATGTAATTTTATGTAAAAGCGCGAGTGTCTTCTATGTGCCTTCTTTGGCATTTAATATTTACATATATATAGATAGAGTAGTGTCTTCGAAGTAGGATCTCTTTAACACTAAATATGTTGTGATTTTCATTAAATTTGCAGATTCTGTATCGGTGTACTGTAAAAAGTAATTTATTATTAAAAGTAAATAAATAAACCAAACAAATAGAAAAATGAAAATTTCTAATTTTATATAACAATAGCATATCCTATATAAACCAATAACATATTAACTTGCTGCAGAGCTGCGCCAAGAACAGAATGCAGACTCTAAAATTGTAAATCTTCGGTGAATTTCGCAAAAAAAAAAAAAAGAAAGAAAAAAAAAAAAAGAAAAAAAAAAAACCAGAAAAAAAAAATATGT